GGGCGCCCGCTCGCCCGGGGGTCCCCGCCGTGCCACCCTCGCCCTCGGGGCAGCCCTGCTGGCTGCTCTCTGGCAGTAGAGAAAGCCAACACCTTTCCTTCACGCTGTGCTTCCCTCTGTCCGTCTCTCCGTCCGTCCATCTCTTCTCTCTCTCTCTCTCTCTCTCTCTCCTCCTCAGCTGGGTAAGGGAAGGTTACAGGTCCGGAGAAGCACATATTTGTCAAACAAATTGGTCCGAGCTCTGCATGCACTTAAATCTCTTCTACTTCTGTGAAGTGTTTTAATGACTGTTTCCATGAAAAAAAGCAAAAAAAAAAAAAATAATCAAAAGAAGGCCCCAAACCCTACTCTGACTAACAGTGATACTAATAAAGGGAATTAAAAGCTTTCTAGAACAAGCATCTCGGCCCCCTCCCGGGGCTGTCTCGCCCCACGCAGAGGGACAAGGCCGGGGGGGGCTTCCTACCCTTGGAGCGATGGGGGGCACCGATGGGTACAGAGCCTCGTGCAGCCCCCCCGCGGCCAAGCACCCCAAAGTCGCTGCAGTCCCCCCAGGGAGTATATCACCCCCCCGGTCCCAGCCCTGCTCGCCCCACACAAGGGTTGAGATGGGCGGGCGCGTGAACCGCCATGGGGAGGGGGTCACCCACCCAAAACCACCCTCCGGCCCCCACGCCGGGGTGCTCCCAGCTCCGATGCCGCTTACGGCAGCTGAGCCCCTGTCCTGTCTGCTCTCCCGGCTCTCTGCAAGGGCGGCTCCAGCAGAGGGGACCACGCGGGGGGGTCCCACAGTGTCCTGCCCGGTCCCGTGGCACACAGGATGCTCGGTGGCGAGTGGCCAGACCTGGCGGGACAGCCGCCTTTGCCCTGGCAAGGAGAGATGCTGAGAAAGATCCGGCCGTGGGGCGTTAGAGCCCTAAATAGCTCATCCCACTCCGTGTCTGGGTCTGCTGGGGACGAGCTGTGTGTCCCGAGCCAGCCGCCGGCACCTTGCAGGGAGGTGACGGTGTTGGGGACGGGGTGAGGGCGGCAGCATCGTCCTTGGCACGGCTCCACTCAGCCAAGGACCATTAAACCGGCATCGTTAGGCTGGAGGGTGTCAAGGACTTTCAGTCTCCGCTCCGCCGGCGCTGGCGGCAGCCCTTAATCACGCTCTTGAGCCGGGGCTGGGAGCACACGATGTGCTCCAGGCGCCTTAATGACCGTAACGGGGCTGGTGGGGGACGTGTGGGTCGGGGACGGCGCCGGCGGCTGAGTTATCAACCCCCGGCCAGGCTGAAGGTGACAACATGGGGACAGGCGCGAGGCTCACCTTGCCGCCGGGCTGAGGACGCGTGTCCCATCCCGAAGTGCATTCGCTGCATCGCTCCAGGGGAAAGCAGGAGCCATCCCAGGGGGGCGGGAGCGGGCCAGGGGCTGGCACGGCAGTGAGCCCAACTGATGCGGAGGACGAGAGCGTCCAGCTCCCGTCCCCGTGCCCTGGGGGGAGGCCAAAGCCCCAAACCCTGCCAGCTCTCGGCCGGGGCGGCTGAGCCGGGAGCTTCCCACGAACTGAGAGGGCAGCGCGGGCAGACGGGATGGCTCCGGGCGCGTCACCGTGCCCCCGAGTCCTTCCCCTGCCCCAGACTTGGTGGCCACAGTGGCCGGGTCTTGCTGTAGGGTGCTGGAGGCAGAGATGAGGCTTTAACGATGCCGGGCACTAACGCGGTCCTCTCCACCTCTGAGCTCCCCGTGGTGAGGAAGGCTGCGTGTGCCTTGCAGGTGGCTGTGTCCCCAACCCCTGCCTGAACGGAGGGACCTGCACGGAGGACGGCACCCGTCTCACCTGCCTGTGCCTGCCCGGCTACGGAGGCAGCAACTGCGAAAGACGTGAGTCCCCCCCGGTGCCACCATGGCCCCCGCTGAGCTCCCGCTCCTGCGGAACCAGCAGCCCAAGAGACATAAATGCAGGGAAATCAGGTTTTTGGGTTTTGGTTTGGTTTTTTTTTGGCTTGCTGGTGAGCTGTGCGCCATCACCCTGACCCTCTCCTCTCTCCCCACCATGGCTCAGCGCTGGAGAAGTGCAGCACCGGCTGGGACAGCTTCCAGGGAGCCTGCTACAAGCATTTCTCCACGCGGAGGAGCTGGGAGGACGCGGAGACGCAGTGCAGGCATTACGGGGGACACCTGGCCACCATCCTGACCCCCGAAGAGCAGGACTTCATCAACGGTACGTGGCGCCGCCCCGGCCCCCACTGCATCCCATCCCCTGGACCTCTGTCCATGGGACCCTCAGCATCCCGCAGTGCTGGGCTTCAAGTTTTAAGCCTTAAGCCAAAAAGCAGCCGGGAGCCGAGGTGGAGCCCTGCCCCGCTGTGCCGAGGAAGAGGCAGACACAGTGTAGGGCAGCCGAAGAAATTAAAGAATAAAGGAAATAGTCAATATGACGGATTGACCAGAGGATGGTTTGATGCTCACTGGCCACTTGGCACGCGAGAGGTAGGGGGAGCAGGAGAGATAGCAGGATCACTGGGCTGATGGAGGATGGATGGATGGATGGAGAGGTAAATATGTGGATTGACATGAGAGAAGACGGATGGATACACGGATAGACACGGGAACAGACGGATACACACATGGGGGGTGGACAGTAGAGGTGGGTGAGTGGAGGGTTGGCCGTGCGCAAGTAAATTTGAAGGCAAAAGCAATAAGGTGCCCGAAAGCAGATGCGGAGGGAGGAGAGGGGAGGCAGAGCAGGGGACAACGGCAGCGGGGATGGGGCAGAGGGTGAAGAGGTCTGGAGGGACGAGGGTGAAGGAGGAAGGAGAAGGGAGAGATCTGACAGGGACCGGCCGGACCAGAAAATGGCAGGTAGGGACAGGCAGGGACAGGCAGGGACAGGCAGGACCGTGGGCACACAGGGATCTGCCGCCCTCTCCCGGTCAGCCCCGTCCC